CGCATACTCGTCTACCGTTTTGTTGCTTTGACAGAGGTTCTGCAGTTGATTATACATTGTTCGTGTATGTATAGTTGTAAGGAAGAAAAGCTTTCTGGAGCAGACGCTTCAGTTTTTCCCAAGAAGTAATATATTCTTTACCAGCTCGTCTACATTGTTCTTTAACATGTTGCCACCAAGATGAGGCCCGTCCTCTGAATCTTGTTGCCACCAACGGGACACGCATATCATCAGGGACTTGCTTGAATGTCATAAGTTCTTCCACGGAGCTGATCCAGTCGAGCAGCTCGTCAGGTTTTAGACTTCCACTATACTCCGGTAACTCAAGACGAAAACCCGACTCCTAGTTACGATTATCTCCACGAGGTGCAGCCAATACATCAACATGACGGGGTAAGATAGATCTCTCTTGCAGACCTGCAAAAGGGTTCACGTCCACAAAGTCATCTTCTTCATCCTCCTGATAAAATTGTTCAGCACGGCATCGATCTCTAGGTGCCTGGGGTCGCGCTTCCATTATTGTTCGTAGAGCTGCCTCAAAAGAAGCCTGCAATGAATCTCGTAATTCAAGTTGGAAAGTAGCAAGCACTCCTTGGATGGCCTCCGTTTGAGCATCAAGTTGCTGTTGAACATCTTTTTTAGGCGGCATAGTTAGGATTCTTTGTTTCTGATACCAACTGTTGCAGCTTGTGTGAGGGACAAGGCAAAGATTCAGTCAACACGAGATTGTTCTTTGACGTCTTATGATCTCAAACTTCAAAAAGATTGTAATCAAAAGGCGATTTGCAGATAAGTAAGTCTCAAAACTTATATTATAAAAACCAAGTATCAAGAGAACACATACGTTCTCTTTATATAACCCTAAAGATAACACTCAATAGGAAAATTAACTTAAACTTAAATAGGAAATCTAACTTAAGGATTATGAATAATTAAAAGAAAACCTATATCATAAAAAAGGAAATCTTGGTAATCGATGTACTCGGTACATCACATAAAGACTCTAAACAAAACTTATGTAATGGGTAAACACCCATAAAACTATGATATTCATCACTATGTCTTAGAAGTCGATCTCTCTACACTTATCTTTTACCCCTTATATATTAATCATGAAACATTCATAAATGCACAACCTTGGAGAGCATGCTTACCTGTCAAGCTCACAGCGCTTCTCAGCTTTAATTTTTTAATGGACAAACTTTGATAGAAATAAAAAAAAATGTAACATTTAATTTCTTGCATTTAGGACTATGATATATAGACATTTTTTAAGGGACCAACTCTGCTAGGTATAAAACAATATATTTTATTTCCTTAAGTAAAAGCTACGGAATTACCTAATATGATTAACATATATATGTAATTAATGATTATGAATAATACATATTTTTGTATCCTCTTTCTTTTTTGTTTAATTTTAAATTATTAAAATAAATTAAACAATTAAATATATAATAAAAAATTAAATTTTTTCTTATAGGTTATATTTTAAATTTTTTAAAACGACCATAAATAACTAAAAATAGTAAAATCCCACATTGAAAATTTTATGATCAATGGTTTAATTTTGTTTTTTTCCAAAGAAGATACAAATTATCATAAATCGTACGAATATGAAGTATCATTAGTACATATTCATACTATAAATATGTTAATTTAAAAATTTCAGTGAAAAGGTTTGAGGTTAGTAGATACAAATTATAGTATTCGAAAGATTTTTGTAGTTTGTAGTTTGTTTTATACAAATTACAATCCAATCCAAATTGAATTGAGAAGATCAAAATCGAATCCAATCCGATAATTAGTAAAATTCAAATAGGATTTATGAGAATAATACCAAAATCTGAAAATACGTGTCAATCAAACTAAAACCGACGAAGTCTCAAACGTCCAGACCTATGATGATTTAAGATACCAATATTTGTATTCATCATTTTATAATCGATAAATATTGTAGTATTGCAAAATGTTAAAAACCATTTAATGAATAAATATTAGTATAAAAATTTTACCCTACACATGCACGCGGGCTATCATCTAGTGATTTATTAAGATTGATCATCGGAGGAAATGTAGAAACTATACATAACCATTTATATTCCTACAACCTTATTTTTAAACAATCCTGTTTTACTTTTAAAAATTGAATCTATAGCTAAAATTTTATAAAAGGAAACATGTTAGCCTTAAAAATTAATTTCTCTAGAGTTTTTATTTTCTACTTTAGTAAAAAAACTCAACAGCAAAAAAAACTTAAAACCACGGCTAAAATTTTAAGATCCAAATTTTAGAGCAAAAAAAACATTAAACCACATGTTCAACCAATCAAATCCTATATCTTTTATTTGTAGAGTTCGGTTAAATTTTTCTTTTATTTGTCGTCCAAATATTTTTAAAATAACAAAAATTGTGTGAAAAAAAAAATTTAAACCACACAGCAGTTTCATGTTTGTACAAAGAAAATATTATAATATTCAATATAACTACAAACTTTTTGTATGTACGTGGAGATTCAGGGCTAATTATAGACCTGAAACCAACATCATGTAATATAAATTTCCTCTCATTTTTCACTTGACCAAATTACTTTTAGGCTTTGTAGAAGTCATTTCCGATATATACTGCACCTACATAATCTAATCTATTAAAGGGAGAATACAAATTTAGATTATCCCTTAATTTTTTACAATATTTATATTATCATACCACTGATATATTAAATGAAGTTATATTTATAGATATTTTATCTTTTCGAAAACTAATAAAATAACAATTACTCCGAACTTTATGTCTTTCACATCTTTTCTAAAAACAATAAAATATTTCCTAAATTAGTTTATATATTGCATAGATATTTTTTTTGAACTACATCAATCAATATTATTAACATTAATGCACATCAGTAATATAGATGAACTATTTATGTAGTAATATAAGTTACATTTGTCTCTATGATCGTTCCCCCCAACGTTATTCTTTTTTTTTCTTTTATACTTTTTTCTGAAAAAAATTATTATCATCAATATAAATATATTACATACACCACTATAACTGTTTATCAAATTTGAAGTAAAAATTTTATTTATGTGTTTTAGTTGTGTTTTTTAGGAGTTATTGTTAAGTGTTTGCATATTTTCAATTAAAACTATTTATGTTCTTAACAAATTATTATTACACACACAATTTTTACGAATATTTTTATACTATTAAAAACTGAATTATTTGTTAAAAATTCGTGTTCATTCCTTTTAATAGAGGGGAGAATATATTTTTATAATTTAGTTTATCTATAAATAAAATTCTATTACTGATTTAATGTATATTTGATTTAGCATATACAATACATGTATTTATAATCTTACGTTTGTATGCTATACTTAAAAAAATATATAGGTCAGAAACATGATAAAAATATAAAAATAAAAAACATAATCAAAATAATGATTTTCACACTTTTATTTTCTTATAAATATTAATACATACATAGATCAAAAACCATGATCAAAATATAAATAAAAAGTTATATTCATTTTAAAACGCCAGCGGCGAGTAGAAGCAAGGTTAATAGATCAATTTTAAAATATAAATAGTTAATTAATGTAATATATAAATAAAATATAAATTAATTAATAAAAATATACACTCGTTAGGGCGAGCGGGTCAAACTCTAGTTTAGTTATTAAAGTTAAAGTCTATATACAAAAAATTCAAAAATATATGTGAAACTAACGATACAGTTGATTGATATCATATATGTTATTTTAAATGATACTTTCTTTTAATAGAGTTTTGATACAAAAAAAAAGAATATAGTTTCATATGTGAAAAGAAAGAGAAAATTGACGGACCTAGCATAAAACGAAGTTGAAGAAAAGGTAGCATGTCTCAGCGGAAAGATAAAGAGAAATTCAGCTGTTTTTAAGCAGTGGAGTCAGTGAATAACCTTGCACATGTAATGAAGGACTTGTCAGCTCTTGTCATTGACCATTGACCAGAACACCTTGGCTCCATAATTCATTACACTCTTTGGTTGTAATGGTTTGTCTCCCTAGAACTCTCTCCAATAAAATGAAATAGCACAATCAACAGAGCAAATGTATGCCTTTGAAGTTCCAAGCAACTTCAAGTAGATAGGATATATGCAGCGCAATTCACAATCCTGGCAAACTGGGCGAGTTGAACTATTATTAACCACCACCTCATACGAGCTGCCCCAAAACTTAATTATGCTTCTTGGCATGATCCCTGAAAAGTCTCCGAGCACACAATCTGTATGCAAACTAGCCATGTGATCTTTACAGGTGTAGAACCAATTCTTTGGATTGGTTTCTTTCTCACAAATGTCGCACCAGTATTTACCACTTGCCTTTTCGCCATAGCAAAGTGAGAGAGGATGGTCTTCAACTCTATGCTTTACTACCTGTGGTAAAGTGGCACATCTGAAACATAAGACAAACCCACAATCATTTTCAATGCATTTGAGCACATGACATTCCCAGCTGTTGCAACCATTACAGATTTCTTTTGTTCTTGTTGGAGTGTAATACAAGGGATGATGAGGATGACTTGGATGTACAAATGGCTCAGAAATTGAACTGCATTGAACATCTAACATCTTATTCCCATGCTGATACATGAAACCATTGGATATTCTATGACAAGCATCACAAGGAAAGAAACTGGCCTCACTTGTTACTAAAGCTGTAAGACGTTCATTGTGTAGCACATGCCATTTTTTCCTAGGAGACTCGGCGCATTTTTTATGGAGAATGAAATTACAGTCCATGCATTCATAGAAAGATTGGAGACATATGGGATGGATGCATGCACTGCAACGTTTCTTCTCCTCAAACAGAATGTTGTTACCATTGAGTCTTAGGTAATGCTCTTTGTGGCTGAAATGTTGTATTGTGTTTTCATCTATTACCACATATGGCTCTATAGCTTCCGTTTCTTCAGGTACTCCTTCCAGTTCTTCCCCATTCCAGACATCATTTCTAGTAGCACATTTCGAATGCAACATAACCAGGACACCTTTGACAAGAATAACCCCCATAAGTCCAGTCCACTTTCTTGCGGCAAACTCCACACACAGAATTCACAACACCAAGAACAGAAGCCCGAGAAACACGATGATCATGTCGATTGATGTTTATGACACACGGAAGGCCAAGACAGTCTTGATGGATCATGAAACCACATTGAACACATATATAAGGGCTTCGATCTCCCTTCAGCCCGCAAGCATTACATGTAAAAGAGTCGAGTCTCTGAAGAAGGGTGAGTTGGTGATCATGAGCTTTCAAATTCACAAGAGAATGTGGTGGTGGGTTCAAAACACAACCCATATCCAAGGTGAAGTTACAAGAAGAACAATGATAAAACAATCTATCAACTGTTCTTCCGCAAAGACGACATCGTCCATCACAATAGTCTGGTAGATCACCTTTGAGAAGCTTAAGAGGATGCGAGGAGTGGTACGAGTGGTTTACCTCTGTTAGATGATCTAGTGCTGATGGATGCCATACACAATCCACATGGAATGCTACATCACATTCATGACATTTGTAAGGAAACCTATAACCATTCTTCCCACATTTAGAACAGTCGAACAGGATCCATTCCTTGAGAAGGGTGAGTTTGTGACCGTGAGTGTCGGAAATGTTAATAACCTCTGGTGGTGGGTTATTGGTACAGTAAAGATCCATGTCAAAGTCACAGATCTCACAACGATAGCATAGATTCACAACATTCCTTCCACATGAATCACAATAGTTATGTGGTCTAGATCCAAGCCAAAGAGTGTGGTTGGGGTGAGATGGGTGTTGAATAGCTTTAGAGGACTCCCCACATTTCTTGTGGATGAAAATATCACATGTCTTGCAGTAGAAGCCATCGGTTATAGATTCAAAGCGTCCACAACAATCACCTTTTCTCATATCATTCCAAAGCACCACGAGATGCTTGTGGATCAACGGTAGTGACACTCCCTCAGATTCCATGGACGAATACTACAAGATTGGGAAGAAAAAAATTGATCTCAAGTCTCAAAGCTACGCTCCTTTCAAATCTCTTTCTCTTTGCATTCAAAAAGTCTTTGTTAATCTCAGATTCCCGCAATGATTGTATAAAACTTCACAGATATTTTAGTATATGCTTTTGGTGTCCATTGGCTATGGTTTAATATCTTAATCACTAACATCCATCCCACAAACGTTGGTGATAACAAAATATAATTCAAAGTACTGATTGATTCTAGGGACAGCTAGGTGAATACCCATATCCTTATATATTAAAAGAGAAGCATTGTAATAAATGCGTTCACACCGTAGACACGTATCAGTTTCACAATCATTTGACAATTAATGCGTTCACACATTAATTTCTTAAATTCATTATTTAATGTGTTTATACACTATTTTAATTAATTCATTTTTTCTACATTTTTAGCCTTTGTATTAATAAATTAAAAATTTCTACGTGTAACTAATGAATAATATCTTTATTGTAAAAAAATTACAAATCATTAAGATTCGCATCAACTAAAATGTTGCGATGAAAATGTTTATAGAAATTAAAGCTTCGTACCTTTCCGAAATTGGTCATGATTGAGGCTTCAGTACACAATACCAACAAATACGGTGAATGGTTATAAATTAAAGAAACTGAGGTGAAAAACACCACACGTAAAATCAGATCTTTAGCTTAGTCAAATATTAACATTTTTATAAAGTTTTCATATCAGACCAAAAATTAGAAACAAAATCAAATTGGTAGAATAAAAATAAGAAATCAAAAAAGCTTTAAAAAGAAATAAAAATCAAAAAATCGATTAAAAACATAATTCAGGTACCAAGTGAAGATGTCATTTTGTAATATATATTTATATTGTTTACGGGTACAATTTGATTTTCTTCATATGAAAAAATGTTATTAATTTCTAGGTTTGTTATTTTGAACAAAAATGTTTTAAATCTTAGTTAACGGTGTATTCATATATTTATCATCACATTTATATACTTTTACATATACATTTATGTACACATTGACATGAGCGACTATATAACTAAATATTCACCACAAGAGAGAATTTTAATTCCTATTGAAGTTGAATTTTTTTTTTAATGTTTTCTTTCACTATCGCTCAAATTGTAGTGAAATGCTTTGTGTTAATAATTTTTTTTTCTTTTTTTTCTTCAAATATTATTTAGATTTTATTTGATTTTATATGTCTTTAGAAATTATAATAGGAAACTATTAGTTCGGTATCAAAAATGTCTAAAATTTATATAAACGAAACCAAACAAATAACTATAGTTTTTTGGTTATCATCGAAGAAATTAAAAACATCAAACATTTAAACCAAACAAACCAAAATATATATAGATTTAGAATGATAGTTATATTAGGACATTAAATAAAACAATGTGAAACTGAAACAATATCCATGCTAAACAGATTTATCATTTTTATCTTAAAAGTAACAAAAATAATAATTTCATTCTGCGCAAGGCGCAGGTTATTACCTAGTGAGATTAAATGAGTTGCCATGATTTGAGGGCAGGAAGATGTATTTTTCACATTAAATTGACCAGTCTCTATTGCTTTGCCAACTTGGTGCTACAATATCCAGCTTGTGCCCGACACTAGTAAATATGATAAAATGCATGCATGTCATTTTTTTTTGAAACACAATTTGCTCTTTATATGATAGATACTTTTTATTTTCACGTTACTAGGCCAGACTCCAGAGAAATATGACGTTTACGATGATACTGCGAAAATATAAAATCGATTTAGGGAAAACAACAACAAATAATAAAGAAACAGTAACGAGAGAATACAAGTTTGCAACTATGAATACAAATTTGTTTACACTTTACCCTCATCTCCAAGCTTTCTTGACACTCAAGGTTCATGGCTATTAACACGGCTATGGAGTTCAAAAACAATAAAATTGATAAAAAGGTTGATATTTGAAAATGTATAACTGAAAAACTATAAAAAAATATTTTTTTGTTTTTATTATTTATATTAATAAAACAAGGGTATAAATGTATTTTTCCTCCTTAGTGAAACCTTATATCGTAAAAACTTTATAAATTAATAGTATTGAACTATGGTCTTTTATTATTTTGTAGAGTTATTAATTTACAAGAAATTAATTTTCAGATTTTTTTATCTATATTTTTCTCAAATAAGAAAATTATTTTATTTCAATGTTTGCACACAAATTACTTTTTTGAAATTTGTCATTTATATTATTGATATACATAAAATATGTCTTATAGAAATTAAATTTGATTTAAGATATAATTTTAAGAAATATAAAAGTAATTTTATTGTTAATGTAAAACAAACAATATAATAGTTTATTTATATTTATATAAAATTTATATATATGTGTTTCACTTATAAGTTTAATGAGATTTTATATTTACATAAAATTTTGTAAAAAGTTATTATTTTATTATTTTCTCCATTTTTTGTTATATTTTGAACAGATCCAATTTAGGACCAGAAATCTATAGTAATATTTGCGAAGTGATTTTTCGCAACAGAGCGCTCACATAAAAGTTAGAGCGGTTAATATTTATATTATCTTTAATGAAATATATCTATATATATAATTTGTGATATAATTAGAAATGAATTTGATATAATAATATTTGATTTATATATTATCTTAAATAATCAATTATAAGTTAATATCATAAAATTATCAAAAATAGAAAATAGTTTTTTTTTTTAAATAAGATATTTCTTATATATATTGTGTTGTTATCTAGAAATAATATTATAATAGCATGAAACCAGTTTGCTTGGATTCTATGGTATATTTGGAAGGTAAGGAATAAGAAAGTTTTTAGTAATATTGATGTGGATCCCAATGATACTTTGAGGCTGGCAGAGACTGAATCTCTATTATGGAAGGAAGCTCAAGAAACAATGAAACAAAATATTCAGCCTGCACTAGAGCTTGGGGAGGCTACTTTGCCCTAATTACCTGGTAGGTGGTGCTTTACAGATGAGTCTTGGAAGGAGCAGGATAAATTCTCGGGTCAGGGTTGGTACAGTACTCTTCTGGGGTTTAGGGATTAATGGGAGCAAGGAATATAAGGAGAAGCATATCTCCACTGCACACAGAGATAGAGGCTCTCATGGAAAGTATGAGAAATCTGCGTTAATTTCATGTTACGTTTGCTATGGATTGCATACAAGTGGTAAAGATGGTTTTTGCACCAGAGGAATGACCAGCATTTGCAAATTATTTGGAAGATATAGTGATCCTCCGCGAAAGTCTCACTCATTCAGAGATAATTCATATCCCAAGAACGCTCAATACCAAGGCCGACAAACTAGCACGTAGTGTTCGGAAACAGCCGTCCTATACTGTTCATATGGATGATGAGTTACCAGTTTGGTTTGCAAAGTCTGTTTAGAATATGTGTATGTTGCTGACAAAAAAAATAGCATGACAACTTATATATATTAAAATTTTATATATATTATAACGAGAGAATACAAGTTTCCAACTATGAATACAATTTTGTTTACCCTTTACCCTCATCTCCAAGCTTTCTTGACATTCAAGGTTCATGGCTACTAACACGGCTATGGAGTTCAAAAAACAAAAAAAAATTGATAAAAAGGTTGATATTTGAAAATGTATAATTCAAAAACTATAAAAAAATATCTTTTTTTGTTTTTATTATTTATATTAATAAAACAAGGGTATAAATGTATTTTTCCTCCTTAGTGAAAATTTATATCGTAAAAACTTAATAAATTATTAATATTGGACTTTGGTCTTTTATTATTTTGTAGAGTTATTAATTTACAAAAGTTGTTTTTTAATTTTTTTTAAATATATTTTTCTCAAATAATAAAATTATTTTATTTTAATAGTTGTACACAAATTTGTTTTTTGAAATTTTTCATTTATATTATTTGATATACATAAAATATGTCTTATAGAATTTAAATTTGATTTAACATATAATTTTAAGAAATATAAAAGTAATTTTATTGTCAATGTAAAAAAAAAAATATAATAGTTTATTTTTATTTATATAAAATTTATATATATATATATATATATGTGTGTGTGTGTGTGTTTCATTTATAATTATAATGAGATTGTATATTTACATAGGATTTTGTTAAAAAATATTATTTTATTATTTTCTCCATTTTTGTTATATTTTGAACCGATCCAGTTTAGGACTAGAAATCTATATTAATATTTGCGAAGTGATTTTTCGCAACAAGCTCTCAAATTAAAAGTTATAACGGTTACTATTTGTGTTATCTTTAATGAAATATAACTATATATATAATTTGTGATATAATTAGAAATGAAATTGATATAATAATATTAAATTTATATATTATCTTAAATAATTTATTATAAATTAATATAATAAATTATAAAAATTGTAAAAAAAAATATTTTTTTTTAAAATAAGATATTTCTTATGTAGCTTGTGTTGTTATCAAGAAATAATATTATAATAGCAACTTATATATATATATATATATATATATATATATATATATAATATTATCTAGTTTTTGTGTTGTCATGACAACTTATATATATATATATATATATATATATATATATTAAAATTTCTATATATTTGATTTTTTCTGAAGATAATATTGAAATTTAAAAAATATTCACATGTTAAAAATATTTAGAAAATATCTCTATACAAATGTTTTTTCTTAATATTTAATTATAGATATTTTTAGACCTTAATTTTAATTTATATAAGTGTTCATTCCAAGTACTATCATGAAAAATATTATACTGCAGATGCAGGCACATCAAATAGTTTTTATAAATTTATTTTGCTAATTAATTTACCAAATATTAATTTAAAAAATTTAGAAAAATTCTTTTGGATGGTGTTTTTAGTTTATTTTCACAAAATAGCTTTCAAGGAGGAAAATGACCAAAATAAGTTTTTAGTAAAAGACCAATATGCATTTATACTATTTAATTAACTAATCTAAATTTTGGATTTAGAGTTAAGTGTGGGGGTTTTGAATTTATAGTTTCAAAATTTAAAATTAAAAAATTAGTACAAATTTAAAAACTAAAAAAGTTATTTGAGAGAATTGCCCTAAGATTTATAGGGCATTTAGGTAGTTTTGAAAATTTTAATTTACAGAGATAAACATTAATAATCTTATATAATAAAGTTAGCTTTTTTTTTCTCCATAGAGGGCAAAAAGTGTCATGTGTCACCTCATTAAAGTTTAAAAAAATATTTGTTGGGCTTTAGAAAAAAAATTATATTATTGGTAAAATGCATATTTGTTTTGGGGTTTTATTGTTGTAGATTGCATTTAAACTTTCGGATTATAGAGATTCTTTAATATTATAGGTTTGTTCATCATCTTCGTTTGAGATTCCTAGTTCAGCCGGCGAGGGTTGTAGTTATCGGAATAAATTATCAACTCTCCATAACGTCTGGATCCACGCTTGATTCTTACCTTCTTTCCTTCTACTTTATAAGTGATTAACCCACGCTGGATCATTGAAACCACCTTATCGCATCCTGAAAATAACCATGTAGAGGTGTGAGTATATATATCCCTTTTGCAGACATGAACATCACAGCTTTGACAAGCATTCGAAGAAAAGTTTGTTTAACTTTCCAATTACTACAATGGTGATTTATTCCATCCTCCTTGCCGATTTGAAAGTTGGGCGCTATTCCAACACCACCGAGTTTCACTTGCTAAGGTTTTGGGAGGCCAGAAGTGTGAGGAAAGGCGGTGAGCTCATGAGTCTAGACATGATCCTCATCGACAAGAATGTAAGCATCTTCTTTCCGATTAACGCTGTTGACGATTGGTTCCATTATGATTGTCTAAAAAAAATTATTTGCCATTTATAATAGTCGACGGTTATTCAAGATTCTGTTAATGCAAACCGTCAATTCATGTTCAGGCAACGTCTCAGCGAAAGGTCAGTCTACAGGTTGAGCGGGTTCGATGTAATGCGTAGCAGCTCCAATTTCCGGTGGATGCCCCTTTTTCCATTCGGTTCAATAATGAAGCCTCTTTAGTTAAGAAAACAACATTTATTAGGCCCATATCTACTAAACTTTTCAGATTCCTAACCTGGTCAGAAGTATAAATATGATACTAGATTTTGATCCGCGCTTGAAAAGCGCAGAAATTTTTTATGATTAAAAATTTATATAATTGGATTTTATCTTAATTTAAAGAATGTTTTGGTATAAAATTAGTTTATCAAAATTTGTGGTGATAGTTGTTTTTCATTAGTTTTTAGTTTCAGTTTTTATTTTTAGATTTTGTTTTAAATTTTGGTTTTTGGTTTTTGGTTTTTAGTTTTTAAGTTTCTATTTTTGATTTTCAGCTTTTGGTTTGGTTTTTTAATTTTTAGACTCGCTGATTTAGTTTGAACTAATATTACAAACAAACAAATCTCAATTAATCGAACATGTAATTTAAAACTAAAAAGATGAAAAAATAATTTTCTAAAAATTTTGAAATATTTTATTTTGTAAATAAAAAGCAAAAAATATAACCTACGTTTTCAGCTTTTGGTTTTGGATTTTAGTTTTTAGATTTAGTTTTTGGTTCTGCTTTACATTTTTTTTAATCTGTAATTTATTTAAGAAAAATAAAACAATAAATTATTTAAAAGTTACCATTAAAATTTATCAAGATAGAGTGATTGTTATTTAAAATAAAAAATATTAACATGTTTTAAAGTACATGATTTAAATAAGTGATTAATAATAGATATGTTTTGTTGAAAATATTAAATATTTTTGGGCTAAAAATATTAACATGTTTTAAAGTACATGATTTAAATAAGTGATTAATAATAGATAATTTTGTTTTGTTGAAAATATTAACTATTTTTGGGTCTGAAAATAGTAATTGATTTTCGATACATTAAGGTGGAAAGTTTATTTAATGTTTTTTTGAGTTTTTCTTTAATACTAAGCCCAAAAACCAAACAATTAAATGTCATAAAAACAAAAGTAAGCCCAAAACTCTATTCCATAAATAACCGCCGGTTTAATTTAAGTAATGCGGTTCAATCAACTATATAACTTGTATTATTTGTAACACTCTAGAAATAGTCCAAATTTAATTGACAACATGTATCAGTAGATAAAAAGAATGAATCTATTTTAATAGAATAGATTATCGGAAGCTTAAGTTATACTTATAAGTATTAGGCATTGTGTGTTAATTACTAACTTTTAATTTGGGGAAATTAGAGGCTAAAAAACACATTGAGATAAAACTTGATACCTAATTGTTAACAAGAAATTAATGAAAACCTATAGCCAAAACAATACATAATTAAAATGAAGACTTCAATAACAATAAGTGAAAAACATAAAATAATATATAACAGACAAAATAATAGTGAACAAGCGATAAAAAAAAATTCCTAATGATAACAAGAGATCAAAGATTATTATATATCTAAATAAATGTGATAAAAGAGAAATTGTGTGTTATTAATTCCCTAAAATCTTCAGGCATAAATTTAATATGGACATAAAAATTAAAAACATACTATTTGTAAAACACAAAAAGAGACGCTATAAAATAAGATACATAATCGTAGAAATCAAACTATATAATCTAAAATAAGAAAAATGCACCAAAAATATATAGTTTCAAAATAAAAACATTCGTAGTCTCACTAAAGTATATCAATAATTTTATTTTTGAAATAAAGTTTTTGCAACGAGAGTAAGACCGAATATCAAAGCATTAAACAATTCTAATAAAAACTGATAGTAATAGTAATTAAATAAAATAATTAATATATAATGATAGTAAAATATTTCAAAATAAAACAAGTGTTAAACAAAATGTCTAATAGAAAACAAACTCATGCAAATCACGGGTCAACTATTAGAGAAAATATTAATTATTTATAGAACAAAAAAATATAAATAACTAAAAATAAACCTTATTATATAAAGCTTTGTTCCTCAAAGTTACTAATTAACATGATCGCGACACATGGTAAATTATTAGTTAAGATTGTGACATGTGTTAAAAACAATAGTCCAAAAAACATTCTTCCTCTTTAAAATATTTCAACTCTCATAATGCTAACTTTCCTATATTAAAATCCTAATTAAAAAGTTTAAAACGAAAAAAAAGAATCTTATCTTATTTTAAACTTTTTTAAAATTATCATTAAAATAAAACGATTCTTAAAAATAAAAGGTCAAACCGAAATTGTATTCTAATAAAACGATTTTTTATAATTTTATTAAAATAATACGATTTATTAAAAAAATTATCAAATAAAAAAAATCTTATTATAATAAAATGATTTTGTAAAAAATTCATAGTAATTTTAATTTTAACAAAACCTATTCCAAAACCGAATTGTAATTATCCTTTTCAAAATATAAACCAAAAAATGAAAATTACTGTTCTATGCTAATTGTTCTTTATAATAAAGAAAAGATAATTGTAAAAACAATTATATAAAAATTATATTTTTCCTTTTTAAAATATTTCTACGCTCATAATGTTAATTTTTCTTTTTTCAAATCCTAATTAAAAAGGTCAAAACAAAAATATTAGATCGTAATTATCCTAAAAAAACTTAAACATTTTCCTACTCTTATAACAAGAAAAAAAGATAACTGTAAAGAAAAAAATTTCCTTTTCAAAATATTTGTACTCTCAGAATGCTAATTTTCCTTTATTCAAATTCTAATTAAAAATATCAAAACAAAAAAAAAGAATCTTATTATAATAAAAATTTTAAAATTATTATTAGAGTAAAAAGATGTTTTAAAATACTTTATTAAATAAGAAAAATCTTATTAGAATAAAACGATTTTTTTTTTAAAAAAAAGTCTTTGTAATTTTAATTTTAACAAAACCTATTCCAAAACCGAATTGTAATTATCCTTTTTAAAATATAAACCTAAAAAATGGAAAAAACTATTGTATGCTAATTGTCCTTTATAATAAAGAAAATATAATTGTAACAAAAAATATTTTTCATTTTAAAAATATTTATACTCTCATAATGCTATTTTTCCTTTATTCAAATCTAATTAAAAAGGTCAGAACGAAAAAAAAAATATTAGATAGTAATTATCCTTTTTAAAAAAACTTAGACCAAAAAAATGTTAAAGACTGATTAATATTAATTTTCCTTGATTAAAATTCTAATTAAAAAGATCATAATCCAAGAGGAACTATGATTATTCACATATATATATATATATATATATTGAATTAAGATCTCTCATATTTGGTCACTTCTCATATTTATCACCAAGCATAATTATTGATTCAAGAAAAAAATAATCTGAAGTTCTATATTCAATTCTTCTTGTAAAGTTATGGTTGATCGTTGTCATGCTTCTGAGTTCTGTCTTTTTTTCTTTTATCGAAACTTATGAGATCTGTCACATAGCAATACGTTTAAAGTTATTGTCACGACACCATAACATCGCTGTCACATAGCAATGCGTTTGAATATCACTATTATGATTTCCTATGTCTGTTTGTCCTATTATTATTTTCTAACTGTAATTATAATTTAGTTTATTACCAGAAATTATCAAGAAACGATGCCTTCATAAAGTTATTTAATCAGTTAAATATAAACGTCTTTACCCTGGAACCATAGTACTGTCTTACTAGAAAGTGGGAAGCATGAGAAGGTAAATATTTTTATTTTAATTTTTAAAAAATCTTATATAGTTTTATTATTAAATATATTTTTTATTATATAGGAAAATATTATTCAAAGTTGTGTACAACATTTTCTAATTGAAAAATTTGGAGATGCATTAAATGAAGGAGCCGTTATTGAAATCTACAATTTTAATATGCAAGATTGCAAAAACTACAAAGTCTCAGATCATAAATTTCAAATAAGATTGACTGAGAGAACATCAGTTGCATGTGTGGTTCAACAATTATCTCAAATACCGCTTGGAAAATTTCGATTTCAAAATTATGAAGATTTAGTTCAACTGCAAGATTCAACAAACGATTTATATGGTAATATTCATATTTATATATATAATAAGATAGTATGTTTATGTAATTATAGTAATTTGGTTGTTGAAAATTGTATTTTTGACAGTTGATTGGGTATATAATAAGATAATATTTTCTGTAATTCATTTTTTAGCTTCATAGTAGATAATAAAAATGATTTTTGTTAATAATTAAATAGAAATATTAAGTAATTTTCATTTTTAAAATCTAAAGCAAAATATATTTGCAAAATCAATATGATAAAAGTTTCTTTTTAATATTGTGACATGTGTAAGAATATTTCATAGATATAATATATTTACTATGAAACTAAAAAAAGAATTTCTGAAACTTATAATTTTTTAAAAAATATAATTTCCAAATAATTTAATGTTAAATATAAATTTCAAAGTTATTTAATATTAATTTTTAAGCTAAATTCCTTTTTTAAAATCCTAAAGAAAAATATGTAAAATAATTTTGAGTATTAAATATTAAACTTTTCAAAATAATATTCCATTGTAATTTTCTTTCTTTTAAAAAAAAAATTTACATGTGTTAAAATATCTAATTTTTAAGAAAAGGAAAATTAAAAATTATTTAATACTATTTTCTCTACTTTTTTCTTTAGTAAAAATTTTCCATTTCTATAATTGAAAAAAATAATTGATAATGAAATTTATAGATTTGCAATGATAATTTCAAGTTGACAATATTGTAAGAATGCAACAAATTGTATTAATCTGACAACGTACAAATCCAATTCTAGACTTTTGGTAATATTATTTGAGTTTCTAATATGATTGGGCTAGGTTATGGCAAACTAAAATTGTTTATGGGTATAATTCTTTTGGTCTTTTTACTTTAATTATAATGAAATAAATATAAAAAAATAACTATTAACAAAAACAAAACATTATTGACTATTTTAAAACATGAAGCAGAAAAATCAAAAATGATGTCAAAATAGGTTCTTAATTCAAAAATGTGTCCCATAACATACACCTAAATTTTAAAATTGATGTAAAAAATTTCTCATTCTTTTTTATGTTTTCATAAAATAAAAAAAAATCAAACAAACCCGTGCAACGCACGGATCCATACCTAGTGAATAATATAGAGAAGATAAATGATTTGTGTATTGGATTTAAATACTTTATGAATAATTTCCTTATTTTTATGATAAAAACATAACAAAAAAAATATTTACATTAATTAAAAAATTTACAAGCATGTGCTTTCTAACAAAAACAACTATTGAAAAATAAATATTTGCAGTCACGAAAAATTTTTTTTAAATATAATTAATTTAAAATATAATTTTGTGATTTTTAATTTGCCCATCCGCACGGGCTTAACCCTAGTGGTATATAATATAAGGTGAAGCCAAATTTTCCCTGTCTTTATACCCAAGCAATCACAGTTACCATACAGTGGAAGAAAAGAAAACTCTTTCAACGTTTGGTTTCATGGATTCTCCGACGAGCTCCGTCCACGCCAGTTCGATAATCTCATCACTCCTTTCGTTTCCAGACTCCTCTCCAATCTCCATCACCTCCACCTTCCATCGAGAGCTCGAAAAAGCTCTCGCCTCTGCTTCTGATGATGAATCTGTTCAGGAATGTCTCGTGGATCGAACCTTCCAACTCACGTCTCTTCTTCTAGAATCCACTAAACGATCCTTCCGCAAGCGAGTTTCTGCTCACAATTCCAGTTCCTGGGTCCTCCCTTCCGAACTCACAATCAAGGTAATTCATATTATTTAGAGCTTTCTAGGGTTTGGAGTTTAGAGTTATCTTAGTTTTGGATTGTTCAGGTGTTTTCGATGGTTGATACAAAGTCTCTAATGCAAGCGGCTGCGTGCTGCACCATGTTCAACATATGTGCAATGGACCGTTTCTGTTACGCTCACGTGGACTTGACAACCTGTAAACGCCACGCTAAGAGTACTGTTGTGTCTACTATGATCCATAGGGCTGGAAAAGAACTCAGGTGAGAGAGAGTTTTTTGTCTTCCACTTTGTAACATGTAGGATCCATCTATGTGTTCCTAAGTGATACTAGATCACATCATTGTAAGTGTGTAGTTTAATCTCTGTGAGGTCAAAATCATGTAATCAAACTTTGTAACTTCAAGAATATTTTATGCTTGTAGATCCCTCAAGCTTGGCAGTCTTGCTCGCCCCTATCTGCATGATTGTACTCCATATTTGGTTGACGGACCTTTTCTTTCTACACTATCCTCTAATACTGATTTTATTGGGTATGGCTTCATTGATTATCAGACCCCTTGTTAAGTATCGTTTCGTTAGAGAGGAAACAACTAGCTAGAGCAGGGAAGATTATCATTTAATCTTCTTATTTTGTATTTTGATGATCCTTTTTCCTTTCAAACCAGGTGTCGCTTGAAAAGCCTAGGGCTTTACAATATCAGATGGATGAACGATAGTTCCTCACTCCAAGTCTTGTCAGTTTGTTCGAATCTCACTGATCTGAGGATTGTTGGATTGTGAGTTGCTTAGAGTGCCTTTGCTTATTTATATTTTGGGACATACAGCCCTCTCTTTTTCTTTTTTGCCTTATTCTGTATTTAATGTGACAGGAAGGAGCCATTTATGCATTTATTTAAGATTCTAAAAGAAAAATGTCGTCTGATAGAGAACCTGTGCATAGAGACCTATCAACTCCTAAGTAAAGCTTCTCTATAGCTGTTGAACTTATTGTTTTGTCTACTCCAAGGTTTTCTCAAGCTTACCTAATGTGTGATAGGTACCATAGACACTCAAAGAGGTTCAAAATTGATAGAGTTTGTGACCAACTCCCCAAACTTAACTTCTCTAAGGCTCATTCGTTTTCGACTAACCGATGAAGTGGCACGTATTCTTTCTCAGGTGTATATGTCTTCTGTTCGATTTTACTGCTATTTTCTCTCTCTGTATGCTTTTACAAAACTTCAATAAATGTTTGGATGTTGTCTGCAGAGTTCTCGTACACTCAAGTACCTGAATTTGTCTAGATCGCCTACAATCAATGGTCGTTTTCTGAGGTACAGATGCAAAACTGTTACAGTGCAATTTCCTCCAAATGTCCTTATTGTTAAAATTTCACATAACACGAAGATATTGTTGGTAGGGTTGTAAGAAATAGCTGCAAGGAAAGTCCACTCAAGACTCTAATAATGCGCAACTGCCTTAAACTAGAGGAGGTAAAAGACTCATAACAAGTTTTGATTTGTTTCATCAGTCTTACTTGATCGATCCTTACATTGATGTTTCAGAAAGAAGTGTTGGAACTTTGTAACTCATTAATCAAAGGAAACTTCAAATCCATTCGGCACATTGTAAGTTTTCTATGCCTCTAATAAAAAGTATAAGCTTGGTTTACTCTAATAGTCGTCTTCTTGGTTTACTCTAATAGGATGTTTCAAATAACAGAGGCTTAGTTTCTGATGATGGCAAGAGATCTTACAAACCAAAGTAACTGATTGACCCTTCATTGTTTACATCTTACCAACCTCTCACTGAGTTGTGTTCCAAAAAAATGTTGTGTGTTGTTAGGTTTCCTCTAGAGAAGCTGAAAGAAGCAAGATCAAATGTCACACTTGTAGCGAATTTTGCACTACCATGGTTTCTTCTCCATCGATTTACTATCATCTCTAAAAAGTTTAATTAACGGGAATCAGAGAAATGAAAAATAAGGGGGTTTGTGTCTTGTTAAATGCAGGTCAGTGAAGGATTATCATGTCTGCCATGAAGAAGATGACGAAGAGCTGAGGGAGATAGAGATGATGGAAGATGATGTCTCATCCTCGGACGAGGAATCCTTGGACGAGGAATCCATGGACGAGGAATCCTTGGACGAGGAATCCATGGACGAGGAATCCTTGGACGAGGAATCCTTGGACGAGGAATCCTCATCCTCAGACGATGAGTTAGGATGATGATACAGACCAAGATGACTTGTGCGAGGATACCGACATAGGCTAGTGAAGGAAAACACATGATAGAATGCATGGACGCCATCTTTTGTGAAACACAATTCAGTCTTTATATGATAGATATACCTTTTGTTTTCACGTTACTAGGCCAGAGAGAAATATGATGATACGGAAAATATAAAATCGATTTAACAAAAACAACAAAGACGAGTAACAAGAGGATACAAGTTTACAACTATGAATACAAATTTGTTCACACTTAACCATCATCTTCAAGCTTTCTTTGACATTCATGGTTCATGGCTATTAACACGGCTATGGAGTTCAAGCATCTCTTGATGGTTAGGATCCACGGAGAGCGCCGCACGACAGTCCCGCAACGCACTACTAACATCACCATTGTGCTCGTGGAAAGCCGCCCTTAAGTGAAGTAGATGGAGATCAGCTTTGAATGCAATAGCTCGTGATAACTCCGCAATGGCCTCTCCCTCCTTCCGACTATCCATCAACACTGTTAAATACCAAACACTATCAGCAGAATGACCAAAAAAAACAAACAGAGTGTACGAGTTGAGTTAAAGACAAACCCGCAGCACGGTAACGGTAAGGATAGACCCTGAGAGGGTCTAACCGTGTGACCATTTCAAGATCAGATTTGGCCAGTTCACGGTCGCAGTATTCGGATCTTTTCTCGTAAGCTGATGCATTGTTTTGAGCCTTTTCGATTAGTCTGGTCATTTCTTCATAAGCTGCAGCTTTGTCGTTTCTAAGGAAATGGACTCGAGCTAAGCCTTGGTGCGCTCGTGTGTGCCTCACTTTCAAAGCGTTTATATAACAATCAGCAGCTAAGTCTAGCTTCTCACAATCTACATAGACGCTCCCAAGATTGTTTAGAGCCTAGAAACCAAACAAACAAACAATGATAAACCAATATGAACCGACACTTTTTTTAAAAAAAAATGACTATGAAAAACATTACATAGACGATTCTATAGCCGACAATAACAAAACAGTAGAGGTGGTGGTGAGTGAGCCTGTACCTGTCCTTTCCGTAACCTATCAGAAGGGCATTTAAGAGCATCTTCAAGAAGAGAAACAACGGTTGATGAACTAGACGGATCCAGGCTAGACTCTGCTAAGGCATAAGCTTGGAGAAAATAAGCTTCGAATGATCTCTTGATTCTGATGGACTCTTTAGCCTTTTGAAGCCCTTCTTCACAGTGACCAGTGTCATATAAGATCCATCCTTCATACACCAGACGTTCGTGGTCACTAGAGGCGTGCTCTCGAGCTAACTGTAAGCTACGCATTGCTGCTTCAGGACATTTCAACCTGGTCAAAAGAAAATGAGAGATGCTCAGTTACCACCAATGTTCTAAAAATCGGTCTAGACCAGCTTAGGCAGCAAATAGATTGTAACCAAACCGATCTTCTTAAATTCAATTTAAGCTAATTAAATCAGTTTAAATTAATATAAATCGTTTTAAATCGATTTACATTGGTCTAAACCGATTAAATCAAGCAACATCCAAGTGGATTATGACTAATTTAATTATATTGACTTCACCATCAATTTGTCTATAAATAACTGATGTTCTTTTTCTCCAATTATGGTTCTTTTTAGTATATCAAATTCTTAATTAAGCAAATAATTAGTTAACGTCTATAGGCCTCTAAGAGTCTAACTACGGCCTACCGCTTTCTTGAACACAGAGAATGTTAAGTTCTTTTACCTTAGGAGAAGCAACGATTGCCTGAAGTAGAGAACACCTTTACAAGCATCTGATAGATCACTGAAAGAGAACCAATATCATCAACATTAGACCATTTCTCATAAAGCTGCATCCAACAATCCGCCGTTGTCCAGCTCTCGACATGCTCATAGACCAGCGTCCTCAGCTGCCTCGCAGCTACTTTCCCATCAAACATTCTGTAGTCCGGACACAAAGTAAGAGCAGCCTGGATATCACGAAGAGCCGCTTCATAGTCATCCATGCCGAGGTAAAGACAGAACCTGATCTCCAAGCATTCCAACGCGAGTTTAAACCCCAAGATCCTGTTGATTTCCTCCAGCGCAGCCTCAGCGTTTTGTTCAGACATTAACTTGACAGCTCTATACATGTAAGGATAAGTCAAAGTCGGGTCAAGTTCCGTTGCTTTTTCAAGATCCTCGAGTTTCTTATCGCCTTCACAGTATAGAGACCTTTCTTGATACATCCATCCGAGAGGAGGCGAAACAGAGGAGATAACAGAGGTTAGCTTCTCGTAACCCCAAAGCTTATGGCCTTTGATGTAACCTATTCTTGCTAAACCTGTAGCTGAATACACATGGCCTAGATTAAACGCGGTGTCAAATGCTTCTTCTGCGTCACGGTACTCTTTCCTCAGCAGCCTTGTACACCCTAACAGATGAAACCCAATTACTCTCTGCCGATCATTCTCTGCAAACTCAACTACTTTCTCCAAGAACAACAAAGTTCTGTCGGAACGAGGATCTAAACGCATTGAAACTTCGGTTAAGCAAGAGTATAAGGAGAATGAAGCTCTCCCTGCCATGGTTGAGACTTGAGACCTGTTAACACGAGTCAAAGCCTCCACAACACGCTCATCTGTTAGACTATCAGGCAACTCGTAAAGGAAAACCTGCAGACACGAAGCAGCTAAGATCGGTGAGCTCTCTTCTAATGCAAAGTCTATTAGCTCAATGGCACATTCCATGGAGGAGACTAGAGAAGCTAATTCTCTGTCGCAAGCATCTTTAAGTCTCTCGCAGCAAAACTTGTTTGCAAAAACCAAAACTTCGAGTAACAGATTCTTGGAAACTCCAATTAGAACATCAGTAACGCTGAAGTCTCTTACAACACGCATAGCTGAGGGGGATACATGATTCTCTGACATGTCTATCTCATCAAGAAGAGCTTCTGTGAAACTCCCATAGAGCATGGCGTGAAATGGAGCTGAAAGGGTAGCGAATCTCTTTCTGTCACAAGCTACTCTCTCTTCTCCTATCTTAAACACAACATTTCTCGAAATACAGCGCTTCACCTTCACAGATGCTGCATCAGGGGGCATAACTGGGAGATAAGATCCAATATCCAGCGGCACAAACTCTTCAGAATACTTACCACAAGAAGAAAGCAACTCGGCGATTACTTCCTCTCCTTGTTTCTCATACCTTAACCAAGACCCAAACACAACTTTCTCATGTACAGTTGTAGCTTCTTGCCAAGCTGATCTAAGGCTTCTCTGTCTAAGTTTGGTCTCTCCAAGACCTCTAAAGACTTGATACTGCAACAGATAGAGACTCGATCTCTCCTGTAAAGAGCAGGACTCGAGCTCTTCATGAATCTGAGAGAGAACTTCTACATAGTCAAGAGGTTTATAATGCGGCAGTATCTGTGGCTCAGGAACTTTGATGAATGATTCTCTGCACAGTGGACTACAAAGAAAAAACAAAGGTTAATTACTTAACTCCATAACAAAACGTCTCAAGCTCATACATAACTACAAACAAGAAACTTACGCAGATGAAGAAGCAGAGGAAGATAACTTCCCTCTCTCAACTTGAAGCCATGACTGTGGATTCAAGGAATCGAGATGTGATTCTTTACTACAAGAATCAGATGGGTAAAAAGTCCTCATCTGACATAAGAGATGAAACAAATCCCAGATCTCCAGTATAGCCAGAGGATAAACCAATACACTATCTTATTCTCTATTTCACAGTCCAGACAAAGCTAACTGAAGATGGACTGACTTCTATACAAAAAAAAATCTGAACTTTGTATCTTCCAACACCTAAAGCTAAATCATTTCTGAACAAAGCCTAAACAACATATACGGGCAACCACAAAACTCAATCGAATTCGCCATAGAATCAGTGTAAAGCACAAAGATTACAGCTTTCTCGAGAAAACCCTAATCTTGCAGCATAATCTAGTGGCTCCAGAAGAATTGAAGTAAACCCAGAAAAATCAAAGAGAAACCCACGAATCTAGGAAGGCTATGACATCATAAAGTGAGAGTCTTTAACCAGTGAGACGAGAAGAGAGTGAGGAAGAAAACCCCACGGAGTTGCGCGAGTTTCTGCAATTTCGTATTTAAGACAGAAAAGGCCTAGACACAGAGGGGGAGAGTGGGAGGATTATTTCAATTTTGAGCAAAGGAGATCGAAGTGAAAGATGGAAGAGTGGGAAATATATTTCCAAAATCCAAATTCACGCTTTTTCAGTACTCAGAGAGCTGTTTTGTTTCATTGGTACAAGGGAAAGTGTTTTTTTTTTCTCATAAACTTTTTCTCTTTTGGTGAAGATCTCAACACAGAACAGTAACCAGCACTCTCTTTTTTCTTCAAAGAGATCTCCACACAAAATAATAACAATTAGTTTTGGTGGCCCTATAACCTATTAACTATAAACAATTTTCTTGAGTTAACAACGTCTAGATTTTATTGTACACTTTCTAGATTTAGTATAATGACATAGTAAAGTAAATTTTATGATTTAAATGTTTGACTAATTGCAAAATTCTCAAACAAGATCAATTTTCCAAATTTAAAATTCTTAGTGTCGGTAAATACCAATCCTTTATGGCAATATTTGATCAAATGTTCACCATCAAATTAGGATGAAACCTTCGACATCTTCCATTAGTTAGACGTGGATATATCTGTAAGCTCAAGAACTTGGAGCAAGAAGTTGCTGCACTTAGAGTTTGAAAAGTTGCTGCAGTGGTGAAATTTTGGTTCGTGTATTACACATAGAGATTGGTGTGTGATACACATTTCGGAAAATAAAAAGGAATCATCAAGATGTGGTGTTCTATATGTTTGGTTGACAAAATTAGAATCGAGATACAACGAAAAATACAATGCACACAGTAATTCTAAAAAACTCTTATCTCTCTTATTAGAAATCCTTTACACAATCTTTTACAGATTTGTTTAATCCGAATTACACAACTCGCCACAGATCGATTCCTACAACACCCAAGTTGCTTGCCTCAACACTTGTTGATCAAGTCTACCAATTCACTCAGCTATGAAACCCCAAAACCCTTTGTGTTTCCCTCTGAGAATTAAAACGACAAAAGCCCTAATCCCCCAATTAGGTAAAAACCAAAATATATATTAAATAATCTTTTCCTATTATCTAATATATTATTTTCCTATATTTTAGCATCATAAATCTTCTAATTTTGTCAACCAAACATATAGAAATATTCCACAACACCGCATCTTGATGATTCCTTTTTATTCTCCGAAGCGTGTGTCACACACCAATCTTTGTGTGTAACACAAGTACACAAACCAAAACTCCACCACTGCAGCAACTTCTCAAGCTTTAAGTGCAGCAACTTCTCAGCTCCAAGTTCTTGAGCTTACATTCTCCCCCTTTTTTACTAAGTTTTACAACTCAAGCTCACTAACCTCTAAGTATAAAGTGCATCGTACATCCCATCAAAATAAATTTCAAACTCCCCCTGAAATCAAGTATCATCTCCCCCTGCTTGAGTGAAAAACTATGTGAAAACTTCATGATACTTGTTGGACGTCAAAAACTCTCAATACCTCCTAGACCATCGAATTGGTTCTTCAAGCTCAGTATATTGATCATTCATTCGATTGTATGACACACTGGTATGCTCGTGTGACACACATTTCGTAAACTTAGGATACAAATCCTTCTTAGTTATCCATACATATACATACCTTATGGGTTCCACATAGCAAAGTTTTATCCTTTAAGCTCTCTCAATCTGGTTTCTCTGAGAATAATAGAACGCAACTTTATGACCATGATTCCCACAAAACAAACATTCATTTCTCCGAGTTATTGCAGGTTTGGGAGGGTGAACTTTTGTATGGGCCTTATGTTCCTTATCCACAGGTGCAGATGTATGTGTTTCTCAACTTTTGAGCTACTTTCAGGGTGAAAGGTAGTACATTTTTCAAAGTTGATAACATTAATTGGACTAGCTTGATTTTTTGGAGCAGCGCCTTTGTAACCTAAACCCCAGTTCACCTTTGGAGATTGTCCAAGTGATAAAATATGATCTAAAGTTTCAGATCCTTTATTCAGCATCCTTAACTTTTTGTAATTTTCACTGAGTTCTCTTTGCAGCAGCTGACTTTTCTTGAGTTCCTCATTCAGTAGCTGTTTCGTCTGTCATATTTGGTCTCCAAGCTCTTTAGATTGTAGGCCTGCTCAGAGATTGTCTTCTGTATACTCTGTAGATCAGACTTCTTCTCTTCTTTTGACAACCCAATCTCTGCTTTATTGTTGTTTTTGGACTCTAGAATGTTCCATTGTGCTTCCAGCCTTGCTTTATCTTTGATCAGCTGCATATTTTCTTCACTGAGTTTAGAAAATTGACCAAAGAGAACCTGATACTAAGCAAAAAGATATGCAGTTAAATCACTTTCTGTATCACTGTGTGACGCATCAGAATTGGTGTGTGACACAGAAGACGCACGAGTTTCACCTTTAGTGATGTGTTTTTCAGACCCTACAACTCCATGAAGAGCCACAAAGTTGAGAGCATCTTCCTTTCCTTCTGACTTTTTATCACTGCAACTTCTTTTCATCTTCATCTTCTTTATGTTCACATAATATGATTTTATGTGTCCATAACCATTACATCCATTACACATGATTTTTTTTCTCTTGAATGATGGACAAACTGTTTTGACATGTCCAATACCATAACAATTAAAACACAGCACTTCTTGCTTTTTATGTCTTTCTTCTTCTCTAGGCAGTTTACTGTTGGACATCTTGTACAAAAGATCCATGGTTTCTTCAAGTTTCTGAATCATTAGGTGAATATATTCTTCAAATTTTTGAGCTCTTTGGATGTCTTCCCCATCAACTGAAATTCTTGAATTCTGAACAGGCTTTGACAACTTAGATTCTAATTCCAGCTCCTAAGCCTTTAAAAACCCTACTAGCTCAGCGAACTTCAGTTCATCAGTGTTTCTCGTCAAAGTTATTGCTGCTTTATGTGCTGCAAACTTAGTAGGTAAACATCACAATAGTTTCTTCACCAATTTTGCATCTTCATATTTTTTACCTAAAACTTGTGCTTCATTGGCTATGGAGCTGAGCTTGGCACTGAAATATCCTATCTTCTCATCATCAGTCATCCTTATGTTTTCAAACTGTGATGCAAGCAAGTCTAGTCTTATTCTCCTGACATTCGCAGTACCCTCAAAAGTGTTTTGTAGTATATCCCAAGCCTCTTTAGCTGATTCACATCCTTGTATTAGCTCAAATTGCTTACCATCCACAGAACTGAAGATTGTATCCAATGCATTTGCATTAAACTTTGAAATCTTTTTCTCTGTTGCAGTCCACTTTGTCTTTGGTTTAGGTGTCTTCAAACAATCTTCTAGCATCACATATGGTTCTTCCCATCCAGATTGAACAACTATCCAGATATCTTCATCAGTTCCACATAAGTTTGCTCTCATTCTCACTTTCCAATACCCATAACTCACATCATTCAGCAGCAACATATTATGTGCCAACATCGCCATATTCTCTTCTCAAGATCTCACCTAGGTTCAAAGAACTCTTCTTCTTTTAGGTGTCCCGCTCTGATACTGTAAGAAATTGAAGAACAAAGTGATGAACAAAGTGAAGAACAAGAGAGAGAGAGAGAGAGATAATTCTGAGAGAGAGAGATAAGAAGGATTCTATTTTTCCTTAATTAAATCAATGTGCCTTACAGCAAAATAAATAGGCAAGATACCTAAAATAAAAGATAATTAAAATAATACAAGTTGGTACACAACGTCAAATGCACGTGGGGAAGAGCAGAAGTAGAACATTTGAATTTCCCATATGGTCAAGGTCTCCTTCCATCATGGTCAAGCTTTGCACCCATGGTCATCGTATTTGTAGTTGACCATATGGTCAAGCTTGTACCATCGCTCTCCTTCTGTCATGGTCACGCTTGTACCAATGGTCATTGTATTTGAAGTGGACCATATGGTCAAGCTCTTCATGGTCACGCTTGTACCAATGGTCATCTTATTTGTAGTTAACCATATGGTCAAGCTCTTCATGGTCATGCTTGCACCAGTGGTCACCTTATTTTTATCTTAGTAATTCCTTCATGTCAACACTCCCCCTCAAACTTGACCATGTAGAACAAGTCAAGCTTGGAAGCCATGAAGCAATCCCTCATTAAAACCTTAGCTAAGTAAAACCCAATGGGATAAAACCTAAGCCAAGGAAAAAGAGTAGATCACTTCATGGAGGAGAGATCAGTGACATGAGAGATCTATGAGTCCTAACCTTGGAAGGATGGACTCACAAACCTTAGTGCTTGCTGCCTTTGTCAAGATATCAGCCAGTTGATCTTCACTTCTACTGTAACATGGGAGTATTATTTGCTGCTCCATTGCTTGTCTCACCTTGTGACAATCCACTTCTATGTGCTTTGTTCTCTCATGAAACACTGAGTTGGTTGTAATGTGAATGGCTGTCTGGTTGTCACAGTGTATGGTCATGGGTGTAGTGATCTTTATACCTAAGTCTTTCAGCAGTCCCTTGATCCATATAAGCTCACTGGTCAGTTTCCTCATTTCTCTATATTCAGCCTCAGCACTTGAACAAGACACCACCTTTTGCTTCTTG